AGATCATAGTTTTTCATTGTCACAGGCATTTTATCATCTAATGTAATCTGGCACCCTCCAGGTCCTTCAGTCCACAACTCACAGAATCTTTGCCCTTTGGGTTATGGTGACTGGGGCTGATGGGAGTTGTAGTCTAAAACATTTGGCAGCCACCCATAGCATCAGGCCCTGATCCCATAGTGGTCTAAAACATTTGGAGGCCACCCATAGCATCAGGCCCTGATCCCATAGTTATTGCGATAAGGGTGTGTGTTCTTGACTCATCACAGATGAAACTTTCATGTTGTTGTTCTGTGCTATCAAGTCTGGATCAGCATATAGCAACTCTTGCTAGGGCATTCAAGGTAAATAAGAATATTCAATTATTTAAAAAAACCTCCAGCTTATGAGTGAGAGATATTGTGCTTCTGTATCAATGATTCAGAATGCCAGGATATAGCCCAATATTGCTGCAAAATATCATGCCCGCGTTGCCAGCAGGAAAAAGAAGGCCAAGGTTTACATAGCAAAAAGGCAGCCTGAATGTTGACCACACCCATGTCCGCAGTCCAGATGGCCTACAGGATTCCCTCTTGTGCTCGCTGCCATTCACAAAGTGACACCAAGCAAGGAAAAATCCCAGAACGTGGCTCTTCTTTTCATTAAATAACCACTTCTTACCCAAACACAGAGCAGTTGTCAGGGCTGTAAATAAAGCAAACCTTTGTTGTTTTACTGCTTCCATTATAATTGCAATCTTTTGTTGACCTGTAATTCTCCCTTGCCCATATGGTACATTGTATCATCTGCCTGCCATGCCTTTTCCATGCATGCTCAGTTTATAACAAAGTCACTGTTTTTCCCATTTGAAAGGCCTCTTTTGAGGATAAGTATTTCAGCCCCTGCAGCTGGCCTTAAAAAAGTCTGAACTGGAAGGCTTAGCTAGGCCTAGTTCTGACCACGCTTCCTGTTCCTGCCCCAGTGCTAGCTGGGAGCTTTCTTTTTGGAGAGGAAGCTTGGGCAGAGCTGGGCAGAGCTCAGCCTCAAAGCCTTCCCGTTCAGGCCTTTTCTCCTAGGTGCATCACACAGAGTGGTTTGTAAGGTGCCTGCCAGGTAGGTAACACTCCCAGAATGGAGAATTGTGGTATTTGTAGTCCAAAGAAAAACGTGTCCCTATGAGTAGAAGTGCCCAACACAGAACGAAGAACTGCAGGATTTGCAGTCCAGAAAACCCCATCCCTTCCTACTACCCACCAGGACTCCTACTGTTGTGATTAGAGCTTCAAAACTCTGTAGCCATGCTGGCTGGGGGGATTCTAGGAACTGTAGTCCAAAGTGCTATTCCTGTTCTCTGCTGACACCAGCTCCATTCCCTGCCATGTGCTGGGAAGGAAATTTAGGTGTTGAAAAGCCAGTTGTGCTCGTAGAGCGTTTTCATGCAATGGAGGGAGCCGGGCTGCTCATCCCTGATCCACTCACAGTCAATTGGTAATTGTGCAGGAGAGGAAGGGAGCGAACAGCAAAACAGAGCTCATGATAGTCATCACAAAGGGCCTCCCCAACTCAGTCCTTCTGTCTTCCTCTCTCAGATTCCCAGGGTTTTAGACATTGTCCTGCTTTTCATTCTGCCCCTGGTATTTATTCATGTTTATGTCCAGGCTCCGTATTAGATCATCACTGTTTAGAGAGTGTAAGCCCGCTTAAAAACATGAAAACATTCAATTACTAATTAGCTGCTTCCTGTTTGCGATGGAGCAAACATGCTGGATATGGATTGAAATTCAGCTCCCGCACTCCGCTGTTTATAGTTCCAGATGTTTTTGTTTTATCTAGGAGTTTACTTTGACAGCTCCTGTTAAATGATAAATCACTCATATTATAGCTGAAATGCATTTCAAAATTGAAATGTAGCAAAACTTGGCGATTGCTCTGAGGATCTGTGTTGGTTAGCCGGTCAATACAGGTTTGTTCTTATGAAGATTCGTTATTGGCATATGTAAAACAGGAGCAGGGAGATGTCAAAATTATATACAAGCTGGTTGTGTTGAGAATTTTACTGCAGGAGTAGCTGGTTACAGCTGTTGTGACTTCTAAATCTGTTCTAAGATAAATGGGAATACAGATTTGCTTTCCTTTGGCTCTCTGTAGAATTGTAATTTTTTTTATTTTAGCTTTAAAAATACACTTTAAAAGAAAAGAGGTAGATTTTCTTTTTTTCATTTTTTCATATTTTTTCTCTCTTTTCTTTTTTCCCTTTTTGCCTTTTCACTTACAGTGTAGGACACCAAAAAAAGATATAAATAGATTCTTTGCCCAATCCTACTAGAAGATATTGATTTACTAACCCGTGCAGTCTTGTGTTTCAAAGTATGTTCTCTTGTGGATGGATTGAATGTATCATAAACATAATTAACTTTGTTTCATAACAATGTTTCCTTTCTTCACTGGATCCCATTTTCAATGCCCTATATTCATATACTGGGTTATTGTTAAATGTATGCAAAATATTTTTAAATAATTATCTTCAGGCACATTTGTGTGGGAGTCCACATAGTATTTATTCCATATTTATTTATTTATTGCTGTTTATTTATTATTTCCTGCCTTTCTCTGAAACAATGCAAGGTGCCCCCCAACAAGAGGAACGCTAACAGGTAGAGATGAAAACACATTAAAAACTCAGTAAAACATTAGTACATTATAACATTGAAACACAATCAGATGAATAAAGCAAGTATAATGCCCAGGGATTAAAAGCTCCTTTTTCAGGAACTGGTCAGTTGCCTACCCGAATATACCAAGCTGTTGATTCTTGGTGGAAGGACAGCATACAAGGGGCCGACATAGGCTCTCTTAGGAGGGAGTACCTCAGCTTGCAAGTGGCTCCTGAAAGAGCAGCTGCATTAGCAATGGTAGTAAACCTTCTTGAGATCAGGACCACGGCCAGCTCCCTGTGAGGTAGGTATTGGGAAACTACAGGACCAGGGCAAAAAGGGAAGGTTCTTGCTCTGCCCTCATCCAGAGTCAACTCTCTGCTTTAATAGCCCTGCAGCCAAGGGACAGGTTTCAGCATCTCCCTCGCAGTGGGGTTGAGCATCCTTGTGCTCCCAACAGCCATCAGGTGGTGGCGGGTGCCCGTCGATGCTATCAGAGGTGGAGTTTTGAGAAGAAAAGACCCTTTGAAGTGGAGGGGTTGAGGTTGCTACCTGGGATCTGGCACATCCTGGCAGCGCTAGCCTCTGGATTGCTCATTCCACGGGAGTGTCCGATGACACAGATACTTCCATGTTCCAAGTCCACCAATTTTAAACAAAGGTGGGATAAAACTCCATTTCAGAGATGTTCTCAAGGGCTTAATTCTGGTGTGAAAGGGGCTAATGGCGAACGACGGGGGCCAAAAATGTCAGCGTTTCAGAAATGTAAAATAAGATGCCGAAGCAAGACCACCAGCTGGCTGAGTAGCCCAGTGAGTTAGGTATGTGGCTGTGGATCTGGAGTTCGGAGTCCGATTCCCCCCACTGTGCCTCGCAAGAGAACTAGCTTGTGTAGCCTTGGGCAAGCATGTCCGATTCCCCCCCCCCACTGTGTCTCCCAAGAAAAGAACTAGCTTGTGTAGCCTTGGGCAAGCAGCAGGGTTCCAGAACGTCCCCAGAAGAAGGGAATGGTAGACCACTTTTGAGTATCTAAAATGACCTAAGAGGGTTGCTATACATTATAACTGACTTGGCAGCACATAATTATTAATAATTAGAAAAACCACCAAATGATGGTGTCACAAGAGGGATGGCTTGTAGACAAAGGGCCTCTTCGGCAGCTGGCCGCAGACTATGGAATGCCCTCCCGAATGAGATTCATCTGGCGCCGACGCTGGTGACATTTCGGCACCAGGTCAAAACCTTCCTGTTCCAGAAGGCTTTTAATTGAAATAATATCAACTGTAGGTCCTGATGGCAGTTTTTAGAGTATCTATTTTAATTGTGTTTTAATTGTTTTATCTTTTTATTGCATTTTAATTGTATTTTAACTGTTGTAAGCCACCCAGAGACCTTTGGGTAGAGTGGGCGGCATATAAGACAGACAGACAGACAGACAGACAGACAGACAGACAGACAGACAGACAGACAGACAGACAGACAGACAGACAGACAGACAGACAGACAGACAGGATAGATAGATAGATAGATAGATAGATAGATAGATAGATAGATAGATAGATAGATAGATAGATAGATGAATGAGAGGGAGGGGGGAGGGAGGGTGTGTAATTATCTGGGGAGTCTTAGAGGATGAGAGTGGGATGTCACAGAAGGCTAGATTCTTCCCCAGGGCCTAAGGCCCCCCACCCCGATTTGAACAAGCATGCTTTTTCTACAGTGCTTTACAGCTGATCAGAAAGCAGTATTATCTAGTTTGTTGGATGAGATACTGAGATCTCACAGAGAAGTCTGAATCCATGACCTTTCAACTGAACTATTCAGTTGCTCGGATTTAGCAGTTTCAATTATATTAACTAGGGACAGGAACTAGAGTTTTGCAAAGGCTTCTTCACCTTCATTTTTGCAAAGCTAGTTAGTTCACCATTGGGCAACCTCAGTTGACCCATTTCAAATGCATAGAGAAAGCAAGGTGTGAATTATTTCCTGCCGGAAGGTAAACCCAGCCCTCCTGATACACACATATCTGTTCTGAATCCAGCATAAACTGAGTCCGTTCTCTCCATGGGTGAGATTTTGACTTAGTATTTGACTGAGGCCACAACCCAATGGTGTGCTCCTATATCTAATGTGAGCAGCATCAGGGCTATCGTTTACTCCCGTTGGAGCCCTTAGTGGCAGAGAAAATCCTGCTCCAGAGTTTTCTAGCCCTTTGGATTTTGGAAGGGGCAGGATCCAGTGCACTGTTCATTCCTGAATGAATCAGTGGCATACGTACAAAAGGGAGACGTTGACTTCAAGTCTGTCTCTTTGAGAACTGCGAGTAAAATCCAGATCGTAACGTTGCTGCACCCTCTTCTTTTCCAGAAAACAGAGCCTATGTCAAGCCGACCATTATGTACTGAAGACAACACGAAGCGGGGGATGGAGAAAAAGATAACAATCACCCTTCGAAGACTGTATGAAAGACGTTCCTCTTGACCTTTGAGGCCTTCCATGCCGTATGAAAGACAGGATCGGAAGCAACGAAATGTGGACACCAATTTACTGTTCCTGCACTGAAAACTTGTCGAAACATCACTAAGAAATATTGCATTGTGGGTTTGTTTGTTGGTTTGTTTGTTTCTTTGTTTTACAGGATTCCTGTACCAAACCAAACCTGTGGCAGTAGATCATTTTAGGTCCCAGAGGAGAACGAGAAAGAGAAAAGGTTGCAGTAATTTTTAAGCACATACAGGAATTAATTCAGCCAACAGGAGCCTTTTTTTCTCTCCACCCTGAAAGGAGTTAGCTATTACTGTATAACAATGGCACAATGAATCTAGTAAGCCGCGAAAGTTCCCACTGGCTGTTCTGTCCCACACATCCAGTTTTATCACTGAGGCAGTTCAACCCTGGGCTGTTTCAATTGTGTTTATAAATTTAAGCTTTGTTTACTGAAGCTGAAACTCAATATATATTACATTTTGAAGAGAAAAGTATGTACATTTTTTAATATGATGATAACTGATGTAAAAAATTGTCCTTCCTTAGATGACCAGTTGGAGAGTGTAAACTAAGACCCCAAATAGCCGGAATAATAAAGGGATTATAAATTGATGCTCTCTCTCTCTTTTATTTTATTTTTTTGTTGGTTTCGTTTTGGTTTCAGTTTCAGTTCCACTTGGCTCTTGGCCTTTTAAAGTGAAGCAGGAGGAAAGATGACTATACAGTAGGATGTTAGATAATGGAAACTTTAAAGTATAGTTTCTCTGTTGTACCATATTAAGTTAAAAGTACACATTCTTTGTTAAAATGTTCTTGCTTAAAACTACAGTATTAAAAACATTTTTGTTTGACTTTGGAAATGTATTTTTTTTAAAAGAAAAATGTGGAGGACATGCTGCAAGGACTCTGTGTGTGTGTGTTTGTGTGTGTGTGTGTGTGTTGGGGGACCACAAAATTTGCATGTCGTATGCCACCTCTGCTTCTTGAGCTTATGATAGCTGGAGGACTGAATTCAGCCCACATTTTTAAAGTAAGTGGACATGATTCAGTTGAGGTGTACATTGGCATGCAGTTGTCCTGCTGTTTCATTGTGTTTTGTTTTACACTTCTTTAATTCTACCATAAAGTTCACGTCACATCAAAAGAACACACGAAAATACATCTGAAACCCTGTTCCATAAGTTGCAGTGGATTGAATCCCTTTCTTCGTGTAAAGTCATCAAGCTTCAGTATTTTTCAAAAATCAAGGATCCCCTCCACCTGCCCTGTGGCCCCCAAGGCTTCCTATGAGGGGTTCACATCCATTGCTCTGCCCTGACCTAGCAGTGCCAGCAAAGACACGGCTCTGAGTTTGCGGGGAGGGGGAGGAGGTATCACTGGGGAGTGAGAGGAAAGGATAGAGCTGCTCGAAGGGGAGGAGGGTGCGCCAACGGCACTGAAAGACTGTGGGGGTGAAAAGCTGGGATCTTCTGGCTCTGAGATATCAGATGAGGGATCAGCTAAGAAAGATTGCTAGGAATCTGTGGTGGAGAAGCTGAAGCCCATCATTCAGAGAGGTGGCCTGGAAGAAGGAGCCTCCGAGCAGCTTCCCAGCGTTGCCCAGGGAAGGTGGACCCACTACCCTCCCCCCACAGAGAAACCTCTCCCACCAACTCCGTGGTACCCAAGATGGCGGGCGGTTCCAACCGCACCCACACCCACTCCGCCTTCCCTTTTCCCTGTCAGTGTCAGGAACGGATGGACCGTACAGAACTGACCGTTTCCAGGGCTTTAGGGTGGGAAACCCGATCCTCTGGGGTGCAAGAGGGCAGTCGCGGGAAACTGACGTACAAACCCCCTTGCTCAATAAAGTGCCACCTCACCATCAGCCTGAAGTCGGTGGGATGATTGATGGGAGGACCCAAGGCTGCTGGGTCCACAAGCGGTGGGGGTGCTCACCCTGGCACCCAATGTGGGGCTGCTCCTTCTGCCACCGGGACTGGTGAAACTTTGTCTAGGCCTCGGAGAGGCAGGAGCTCTTAATCCAACAGCTACCAGGGAAAGGGGGCACTCACACATCCCCGTGATTAAAAAAGAGGGGTCTGGATCTCCCCTTCAGTGGCCTGGCATTCAGCACCAGTGTTTTATACCAGGGGAACAGTTGCCAAGGCAACTGAGGCTACTTAAAGTTGGGCCGCGCTGAGCGATTTCATGGGAGTTCAGGGGATTTGAGCGAGGGAGTCTTGGCACAGTGCAACGGCACCCAGCCTTGGGTCCCCAGATGTCCTCGGACTGAAACATCCAGAAGCCTTCACCACTAGCTTTGCCGGCCAGGATTTCTGTCACAGGACATCAAGGGACCCAAGGTTGAGAAACATTGGCATAGTGCGGCAGAACTCCAATCATGAGCAAAATTTCGTTTTGAGTATTTGTTGCATCACTAATCTCCGTTTGTGCAAAGTAAAACTATTTACAAGCTGCCGGCCCCCTCCCCCATGGATGCAAATATATATATGCAGAGACTGTGAATACAGTGGACCCTCGACTTACAGACGGCTCCGCTTACAGACTTTTCGAGTTACAGACTTCTCTGGCCGCAAAATTTAGGTTCGACTTGCAGCCGGAGAATTGACCTACAGACCAGAAAAAAAAACCAAAATGGAACAAAAACAGAACAAAAATGGCCAGTTACAGATTAATCAGTTTTCAATGCATTGTGGGTCAATGGAGACTCGACCTACAGACTTTTCGACCTGCAGCCACCGTTCCTATTCAGATTAATTCCGTAAGTAGAGGGTCCACTGCACTGTACATAGCATGGCCCCTGGCTCAATCTGGTGACTAGTTCTGGTAAATACACCATGGAAACATGTATAAATACATATTTCTGGTGTACTTTATTTAATATTTTCAGGCAGTGAATAAGTGAATCCACAGATACTGGTCCCGTGGATGGGGTGGAGTCCTACTGTAACTGCCATCATCACCAGAATGACCATCCTTTTGTCAATGAGCCTATCGATATTGAACTAGGCTTCTCCTTGGACGGCAAACTCTGAGCCACACCTGGCTTTCTACCAGCCTGGGAGAACCTACCGAGAACTTCCAGCCCACTGATGGAACCTTCTAGAACCCAGGGGCCCCTGAGTAGCCCAGTAAGGCAGAAAGAGGAGTTCTCTGTGGAGGCAATGTGGATCCTGAAGAAGAAAAAATATTCAAAGGGAATGCATTTTGAAGATATACAAATACAGACTGATGTGAAAACAGGATAGAAAAGACTTAACATGTGAAAAGGGAGAGGGACTAAAGCTAGCCAGATCCAGTCGTCCCTTCTCTGGCTCCAGCTGTTCACACTTTTCTTGTCACCCTCTCTGGATCTTTGAATGCCTTTTTCCTTGTTCTAGCCTTCTGGTGAGGAATGAAACCGAACCGCATCCTGCCTGCGTCTTCTTGGCATGTCCCATTAATTTGCCATCACATGGCATTACCTGGGGATGGGATAAATCTGCCTGTTTCGCTTTCTGTAACATTTGCATTTGGAGAATGGAAAACATACTCCACGAGCATTAATTCCAATCCATTCCCGAATCAATTTGTGTGAGGGTGTTTTTGTTTGTTTAATGGGCACACAAAACTCACATCCAGTTTCATGTCCACAGATAGATAGATACATAGATAGATAGATAGATAGATAGATAGATAGATAGATAGATAGATAGATAGATAGATAGATAGATAGATAGATAGATAGATAGATAGATAGATAGATAGATAGATAGATAGATAGATAGATAGATAGATAGATAGATAGATAGATAGATAGATAGATAGATAGATAGATAGATTTGACATGAATATATACATGTACTGTGTGTGTGTATACAACAGTATAGACAACATTTTTGTATGCACATTTTCCATATGCAGTGGTGCCTCACTAGACGATGATAATCTGTTCCACTGAAATCGCTGTCTAGCGAAATCATTGTCTAGCGAAAAGCAAATCGTCATCTAGCAAAAATCAGTTTGCGAAGCAGGGACCAAACATTGTCCAGCGAAATTCCCCCATAGGAATCACTGTTTTGCAAATTGCTATAGCGATTGCAAAAAGTCAATGTCTAGCGAAAAAACTGTCATGCGGGTAACTGTCTAGCGAGGCAACACTGTATACACATATTTGCAGGCATCTTTCCATTTCTGCTGTTTTTGGATGCTATTTTTCACCAATGTATGTGGTTGTACACACAGTTCCCACATAATGTAGCAGTTACTTGATCAGAAAACTACATCAGAAGTTCTGGAGATGGAAGAACACCAAAAGAGCTTTACATTCTAGTTTCAGGCATGCAGATTTCAAGGCAGCTGACACAGAAATGTGAACCAAAAGGCATACACATATCTGGCTGTAGAGCCAGAGGTTGGGTGTTCGATTCCCCACTTGTGCCTCCTAGGAGAAGAGCCAGCCTGGGTGGCCTTGGGCCAGCTGCACAGTCCCCAGGGCGCCCCCACAAAGTACTATTGACTGGTATTATACAACAGATACAAGTTTCGACACGTACAACAAAACCATGCATCTGTTAAATATTAATGTAGTATATATGCTGTTCCTAAAACTACCCTTTTTTGTGGCTGTGATGATGATGATTACATATTACCATGTACATTACTGCCTACCATCCAGTGGAGAGGTAAATAATAATAATGTCATCAGTATTTAAGCAAAGCTTAGAAGAATTTCTTTTTCTCTTTTAGCTATACCTCCCAGATTCCCTGAAACATCATGGCCCTTAGCTGGGCTCTGCTTGGGTGATTCAGGGAGTTGTGGTTCAAACATTAAAATTTCCATGTTCTTGTATTAAGGGTACCAGTTTGAAATTCTATCAAGTTGGTCCATTTCCTTCAAAGCAACCCAGAAAATGTATCTTAGCCATTCTTCCCCCGCCTCCCACTCACGCTTTCTCAACGATCAGGCACCTACGCTGATATTAGCTTGGCGAGTCCTTCATTGATTTCTTCATTTGCCCTTCCAATAATAGTTTGAAATGCCGAAGCCCCAGCAAATGACCTTTCGGGAAGGGCGACGCTTCGGAGAAGGAATCTGGTGTAGCGTTGTTATTTGCTCCGTGCCTGATAAACATTGACGAACACAAGGCTTTTATGTCCCAGCCTAACAAGATGAGGAGATGAGTAAGTAACCCTTCCATGTGGAGGAAGTCAATACATCGAAGAAGCCTCCCATTTAAGGCATCTAAGCTGACTGCCAGAAGCCACAGCAAAATGCATTGTTTAAAATGCTTAATTTGGGTCCTTGGAGAACTTTGTCCATCCGTTGTGGTGCTCAAAACCTGTCGTGTGTGCAAAAAACTCTGGTATGCAGAAGAAGCCCCCCCCCGTTATTATTTATTTATTTAAAATATTTTTATCTCGCCTTTCTCCTTTTAAAAGACCCAAGGCAGCTTACATCAATAAAAGAGCATATTAAGAGCTAAAAACGGTAAGTATACAAATATTGAAAAGGATCGCACTAAACGCCACGCCAAAATGGGGGCCAGCCCGGCTATTGGAGCCTGGCTATTGTGCCCCAACCCTTTTGTGTTAGATTTTAAAAACAGCAACAGCAACCCTAAAACGTG